TTATGTACATGCAGGCAAAATACTCATACCCATGAAATAAATAAAATTTTTTTATTATGGTGCATACTCAAACAATAAATAAAATATTAATTTTTTAAAAAAGAAATCTGTACCAATATCTTGGGAGTGTGTACTGTGCTTTTTCTGTGTGACCTCTAACCAAATAATTAATAAACTCACTGATTTTGAGTTGAACTCTAGTTCATTCTGAAATTCTTTTCTATGGTGTAGTTGGGATTTGGCGTACCTGAATGGAGGTCAGTAGGGAGAAGGGAGCTCCTCAGGCTGCTGTTGGTTGTATTGGCTGTTTCTCTGCCACTGTCCCTCAGAGTAGGACTGTGAAGGTGTACTGTTGGCCTTTCCAGTTGAAAGCAAGTTGGTTATTGGGGTTGTTTGGGACAGGTATGGAGAAAAAGCATTTTCAAGATCAATAGCTGTTCGCTAGGTACCAGGGGGTGTGTTGATCTGCTCAAGTAAAGGATCCATATCTGATACAGTAGCAGTAATTGGAGTCACCACTTAATTAAGCTTATGAAAAGAAGTTGTAACTCTCCAAGGTCCTTTCATCTTTTGCACAGGCCATAGGTGACGTGATGGAAACCATCACCCACCTTTGCATCTTACAAGTCCTTGATGGTGGCATTAATCTCTGTAATTCCTCCAGAGAGCCAATGTTTTGGTTAACTATATTCTCTGGCAGGGACAGCTCTAATGACTTCTATTTTGCCCTCACTCCACATGTCAGGAAACTAATGTGAGGATTCTTCCAACTTCTAAATTGTATATTTAACCCAATTAATGCATTCTGAGACTAGGAAAATAATCACCGGATGAGTTCAGAGCACTAAAATCACTGTGAATCAGACCTTTGCTAAAACTCCATTGATTACCTCACATCCCTAAACTCTCCTTTAACTGGAGGGCCATAATACTATTTGGGATCTCCTGGACTCAATATCAACTCAGACACAATGTTCAGGAGGCCCTAACATATCTGATTATTTTCTTTTCCACAATGTGTAAAAGGCTGTAGGTCCATTTGGGGAAATATTGGAGAAAGATTAATAGTAAAAATTTTGGGGACAAACATGGTGGTGCATGCATGCCTTTAATACCAGCACTTGGGTGGTAGAAGCACGTGAATTTTTATTGTTTGAGGCCAGCCTGGTCTACATAGTGAGTTCCAGGATATCCAAGGCAACATAGAGAGACCCCCATCTCAAAAATAGTAAAATATTTTAGTAGTGTGGTAAGATCCTTCCCCAAAGGGACCTGGAATCTCTTCCTTCATAAGCCCATAAACTATCTAAAGTCTGGAAGTTGGCTGAAAAGCCATGATTCTCTGTGGCTATGATTCAAGGCAGACTTTCATTCATTTGCTCTGGAAATATTTTGTTTCTACACATTAAGCAAGAATTTAGTAGACTTCCTATCTGTTTCATTTCTGGGAACACCACGATTAATTAGGTAGCACCATATGTCTATACAAGTAAGATCATCATGATCATTGTTTTGCTTCTGCCGACTGTAACTGTCAGTATGCTCATGGTGTCTTTGGTGACTGAGTACTTCCACTCAGCCCTTGTTACCCCAGAATCCAGTTAGACCCATTGCATTCAAGCTACCCATTGAGTGGCTGTGGTTCCTACTCTAAGTTTTGATCTACAAAGAAGAGCAATGAGAGCTTTTGAAGTGTGATGGTGTTCCTCTTCCAAATCTACTTCTTAGAGTATTAATGGAGGATACGTCTTCTGCATCCTCCTACTGTGGAGGAGTAGATGTTAGATGGCAAACCCACTCCAGCATTCCAGTTTCCCTGAGCCATTGAATCTCTTCATTAACATTAAGCCAAGGGATACAGGCACCCCCAGCTCATTCACAGTAGGCCATCTCTTGACTCATATTTCAGCTAACCAATCAAATAAGCTATTAGCACCCTTTCAACTGTCCTAGCTGAAACATTAGACACAAAATCTGTTGTGAACTCATATCAATAAATTCAGCCTGATATAGTTTTACATTCCTTCCACCACTAACTTATACCCATACACATTCCTCAGACTTGTATTCCTGTAGCTTGCATGAGCTAGAAAACTCAAGAGCTCCTCAGGGGCTCACTGTGTTCCTCAACTCCTAGAAGTCTGCTAAGACTTCAGTCTGGTTATAGGTCTAGGGGCAAAGATGGGTGGTGAGGAGAGGTTCTAAGAGTTATCAGCACTGTCTTAAATGACATCTTTGGAGGTCATTGCTGATTCCATAGATGATACAGGATTCATTTCCTCAGACAAAGGTAGAGAGGCCAATACTGCAGGGGGTGGGATGGAGGTAGGGACTTGTCACTAAGGATAAGAACACTACTTCCTCAGGCAAAATAAACTCAGTGGTTAAGAACTTTTCCTTCAGTTCCCAGGACCCATGGGGTGGCACACAATCACCTGTAACTCCACCTCCAGGGAATTCAGTGCTCTCTTCTGGCCCTCCCCCATGGGTACCTGCACACACATCTGCATATCCCCTCCTATGCACAAATAATTAAAAATAATAAAAATAAATCTTAATAAAAAGAAAGAAACTCATCAGAATCTGAGGGCTCAGTGTTTTTTACTTCACTGGGGTCCTGCTATACATCTCTATCTTAAAGGTAGGATCCCACTCTTTTCTAGTCAGTGCACTTACTTAACTGTAGAACCTCCTCCCCTTTGGGGAGCAGACCTAAACTTGTGTTGTAAGGCAGCCCAACTCATAATGAGGCCTTGTTTGTTTTTTGGCAACTTAGCCCTATCGCTGCTGGAGAGAGGATTCTCTCTCAGGGCACAATGAGAAGCTTTTAGATTGTTAATGTACACCTGGAACTGAGAATCTGCATCTCTGAGCTTATCCATTTCCTTTGATATTTTATACAGAGATGCTAAAAGCAACCAGCCAACATTCTTACATTTCCTAGTTTTCCAGAAATGTTAAAAAATATTATGTATAGAGTCATTAAATTCTTTGCCTCTAAAAAGTGGTGAATCAGGAGTGTCCAATGCATTTATCACCCATATTTCTTTAAACAATTCACACCATGGATTGTCAGTGTTCTCCACAGTCAGGTGAATCTTTAGCAACTTTAGATGCATGTAGTCAAATTAGAGTCAGTTCCAGAAGCTACCAAGCCCGTTAGAGAAATTCATCCTGACAGTTCTTTCTCTAGAGCCACTCCTGGTACCAAAATCTGCAGTAGGTTGACTAGAAGTAAGGCTGGCTAGAGGAACAGAGCCAAAGGAATGTATACACATTATATAGAATGATTTATTGGGTTGACTTACATGACTTACTTAGGAGATTGGTAATCCAACAATGGCTTTCTCTACATTGGAAAGACACAGAACATGATAGCTGCTCAGCCCAAGAAGCTGGATGTCTCTAACCCAGTGCAGAAAGCCTGGAGGATCCTTAGAGAGTCAGTAGTGCTGAGGCCATTTGGAAGGCTGAAGAAGCTGGTGTGTAATGTCAGCCAATGATGGCAGCAGCAGGATAGATGCACTCGTTCTAAAGGAAGTAAAGGCAGCACATGCATACTGCGTTTTCTTTGGACCTCTTTTTTTTTTCTTTGCATTTTTGAGACATGGTCCCCCTGTAGCCCCAGCTGGCCTAGAACTCACTATGTGGACCAGGCTGGCCTGGAACTCACAGAGATCCTCCTGCCTCTGCCTCCCAAGTGCTGGGATTAAAGGTGTGCACCACCATGCCTGGCACTGTTTGGACATCTTTGTATTTTGGCCACACATTGTTTCTTGGCCACACATTGAAAGGTTCCACTCACATTGAGGTACTCTCAGTTCATCTGCTCTGGAAATCCCTTCATAAACATGTTCAGAGGTGTGTCTCCTAGGATATTCTTAATCTAGTCAAGCTGATAACAATGGCAAGGACTTAGATCTTTCAGCTGTGTTAACATCTGTGAGTCTCAAGTTCTTATTGGTAGAATTAAGATAATAGTACTGCCTAGATAGGTTTTTTTTTTTTTTTGCACTTAAGACTTTATGAAGACTCAATCATTGACAGCTAAAGATAAAACAAGAAAAACAAAAGCTGTGCAAGGTGACACACCTGTAATCGCACCAGTCAGGGAGTTGGGGCAGGAGGATCACTCTATTTCAAAACTAAAAGATTCTGGTTTATCATCATCCTTTTCCTATCTCCCAACAATATGAGCCAGGAGAAGCTAAGGAGACCTTCAACAGGTATTCCTAAATGCTTCTCCAGACCCACAGAATGACTTCTCTCACTTCAGATTTTTTCTTACTCTTTTCCCTGTTTTGGATTCCCTTTCCTTTTAGCATCCTGATACTCCTTCCACCTAACATAACCACGGAGTGGAGGAGATAGGAGAGTCTGTGAGCCAGAGATAAGTGGTTGTCTACTACTGTCTGTTCTGGGGTTGAATCTAGCACTGGTGATGTAAGAGGGTCAAGTGTGAGATCATAGTCATTTCAGGGCCTAGAGGATGAGAGAACAATGGTCATGATAAAGAGACATTGACAGACCTGGATGCTGCCCTTTTCCTTGGTCCCCTGTAGGAGACAGCACCCTGGCACCCAGCTCCAATGCCCCTTAGGTCTCTTCTGTTGCTGTCTTTACTTCTGGTAGCCCTAGCTCAGAGCAAGCTCAGGAACCCATTGAGCATCTCCCTGCAACTCCCTCTTGGAAGTGGGGCGGGGTGGAGTGGGAAGAGAACAGGCTGAAATTGGGGACACTGGGATACGAAATCGTGTCCCTGGGGTCTCCAGTGGTCCAAATTCCCTGGCACCTAGACCAGAGTCAGTAGCACCCCAGAGACGGGGTACTTATGGCTGAGCCTGGGGGGCGCCTCTGCCTCTGTTCCTTTAAGGACTCGCTGTTTAGCATTCCTGCTGCTGCTGCTGCTGCCGCTGCCTGACTCTGCGCGCTGATTGGCTGGAATCAACTGAGAAGAGAGCCGGGGAGAGATGCTCTTGACTCCACTCAGATCCATCCTGGGGGCCAGAGCAGAAGCGGTCCTCGCTGAACCCAGCTTTTGCCTGGGCTCCCACTTCTTCTTTGCATCTGGGCCTTGGCCCAGGAGCCACGACGGGCGACACGGAGCCGCCAGTGCTAGAGGGGGAGCCATGGGTGCGGGGCAGCGTGGGGGCAGAGGCCCCGGGACGCCCGCCTGGCCCCAGGCCCCGCTCCGCCCGGGCACCCCCACGGGTGCCCCCCCCTTCCTGGTCTGAGCAGTGCGAGTGTGCTCGGGAGCCTGGCGGCAGCAGCGGCATAGAAACTGGCGTGGGCTGGGGGGTCCGAGCCGCGGGGGGCAGTGCCATGCACAAGCACCAGCACTGCTGTAAGTGCCCCGAGTGCTATGAGGTGACCCGCCTGGCCGCCCTGCGGCGCCTCGAGCCTCCTGGCTATGGGGACTGGCAGGTGCCGGACCCCTACGGGCCAAGTGGGGGCAACGGGGCCAGCTCCAGTTATGGGGGCTATAGCTCGCAGACCCTGCCTTCTCAAGCAGGGGCGACCCCCACCCCTCGCACCAAGGCCAAGCTCATCCCCACAGGCCGGGATGTGGGGCCAGTGCCCCCTAAGCCGGTCCCAGGCAAGAGCACCCCCAAACTCAACGGCAGTGGTCCCAGCTGGTGGCCTGAGTGCACCTGTACCAACCGGGACTGGTATGAGCAGGTATGGACCAGTGGATGGGGGGAGGACTGGTGGGACAACCCAAAAGGGCTGGAGATTGGGGACCTAGGGGTCTAGAGGGCGGTATGGCTTACTGGGGCTCCAAGTCTGTGGACCCCGAGCCCTAGCACTGCAGCTGACCAAAGAGACTGTTGGAAATGTGTGGTTCCATGTGTGTCTGTTTGGGGAGGGTCTCCATTTGGAGGGGATTGGGAGGAGCTGTGTATATCAGGGGGCGACGGTATGGCGGAGGGGCACATTGTCTTATGTGGGGGAATTGGGTTTATCTCAGTGCGGGGGTTTGGCAGTGTCTCTGTGTCTGGCAGAGGGCGGGAGGTTCTGTGGGGGTTGTGTGTGGTGGTGTGTCTCCACAGGAGGAGAGGAGGGGGCATGCTGCTCTGCGTGGGGGGGGACATATGTGTGTATGTATGTTGGGGTGTGTGGAGGAAGGCAGCGGAGCTCGTGTGAATGTATGTAGAGGAACCCATGTGCTTAGCTCACTGAGCTTCATCTTTCAATACCAGGAGTCCCTCTCTGTCCCAGTCCCTTTGTGTGTGAATGTCCACATGGACGTATGAAGATGTCTCTTGAATGTGGAGGTGTCTCCATAGATGAGACTGCAGGGGTAGCTGTGTTTGCCTGTATGTGTGTCTACATGTATATGTGAGTAAGCATGTGGTTGCAAGAATGTGCACGTGCGTGTGTGTGTGTGTGTGTGTGTGGTGTGTCTTGTCTCTGATGAGAAGCGCTTGACAGGCAAGGAAGGGAGGGGGGAGGAGGCTAGAAACACGTCCCAAGCAAGGCTGAGAGGCTGCTGAGAAGGATGGACTCTTTTGTCCAAGCAGCTCTGAAGTGTGTGTGCTGCAGGAGGTGGGGGGTGTTGAAACAAGCCTCCTTGCTCCAGAGCAGGCATGGTGCCTGGAACTAGGCAAGGGGCAGCTGCCCTAGTACAGCAACTGGCCCCAATGGGGCATGGCTCTTGTAGGTGCCCCCAGATGTGGGAGAGCTTAGCCCCCCAGCCCTGACTTGGCACCGCTTGGGAGCCCCTGGGTGCTGGGCACAACTCCGGTTTCCACTCCCAGCCTAAACTGCCAGCTTAGAAAATGGAAGGAGCGTCTGTGGGAGAAGCAGCAAAATGGAGGCTGGGCCAGCAGAGCCAGGTCTCTGGCATGCATGGCGGACGGCCTGTCTGGTTTTTCAGCTCTGCAGCCCTCAGGGTGGAGAGAGAAGAAAAGGAGGAGGCTTTGCTATTGATGGCAGGTGCTGCCTGCCCCAAGCTGGTGACCATTCTGGCCACCTCTGTTCGCTTCTGGGGATAGGAAGTGTTCTCACCTAGAAGCAAAACTGGGGGCTTCCTGAGGGAGAGAAGTCCTCTGCTCTGTCTGTTCATATACACTGTTTCCTGTGTTCCTTGCCTTGTCCCTTGCCCTCTCCAGTGAATCCTCCTCTTTCCTTTGCCCCATCATACTTGTTCTGCCCAACGGGAGATGGTTGCCAATCCCAGGACTGTGCATGTTGGCTATAAGGGTTCTTTACCAGGGTTGATCTCTGGATGGCTCCTAGCCCTAGAAGCAAGGCCCCTGAGTGGGAGTGGGGCGAGGGCTAGAGGGTGGAACATTTGAGAGCTGGGACCTCCAGGCACCACTCAAAACTGGGCTTGAGGCATGGCTTGTCACATGTGGGCACACATGGCACACCAAGTGCAGGGAAGAGCTGCATGGGTTTTCTTTTGCTGTGTGTCTATCACATGTTACTTCAGTCTGCTGTGTTGGTTTGGGGTCTCTGAAGAGTCAGTGACTTTTCCTACTGGGACCAGGGTGAGGCTGCAGCCAGAGTCCTCCCACTGACTGCTAGGGCCACGAAGCTCGAAGGAGGAAATAGGGGAGGTATGGTTAGCCAGCCCTCTCCTCATTTCCTCTCTGCCTCTTGAAGCCAGAGCTGTGTGGGGCGAAGGTATGAAGGGGGAATCAGATCAGTGCATGTGGAGGAGACCCTACCCTGGGTTTCCAGCTCTTCTTCTGGGGCCAAACCTTAAGAAAGATACAACATGGTTAGAGAGATTGAGGTCACTGCCAGGATACCCAGGGAGAGAGACAAGGAGTGTCTTCTATTCTTAAAGATGACTATGTGAACCAGGGAGCAGGTGTACTTGTCTGTGCAGAATCAGATTTCAACTTGAAAAATGGACACAAGTATGTCCTGTCTGGAAGGCCACTTCTATGTGTTGGTGAAACTAACCTGTGTTTTTGAACCCTTCCCCTGCCATGACCTCTCCTAGCTACTGTGTATTGAAGACCACAGATTCTACTGCTAATGTCTATGGGTCATTGGCTTCTCCCTCATGGGGAGTCATGTCTACCCCATTCCTGTCCTAGCTCTGGTTTGTCCTCAGACTCCTAGCCAGATCCCACCATGGCCCTTTCTTTTGGGACAAAAAAAGGGTTCAAGATCAAAAGTTCCTTGGGAGAAAATAGATTAGGACTTTGACTTCTGTCCATTTAAGAACTTGGATTTCTGGAACCTTGGAAGGACGTGTGAAAAGGAGCTTCCAAGGCACTCTGGGGATAACTTGGGGGAAAGGATGAATGGCCAAAACTCTTCTGGCCTTGAAGCTTTCTACAACCCAAAGAGTACCTAGAGACCCAGGTTCTAGACTCTAATTCCCAGTATGCTTTTAGGCATACCCCACAATCTCTCTGGGTCTTAGTGTCACCAACTGTTAGGTCAAGGGGATTGAATAAGACGGTGTCTGCTGTCCTCCCATATCTGACATTGTGTGAGTCTATGACCCTCAAATCAGGGAAAGCTGTGGTTCAAAAATAGAGGGGTTCCCTGGCTAGGCTTCTAGGCACTTCCTATGGATGCTGGGTATGGTGTGGTTTGGCCATCATGCTCCATCTCTGCCATCCCCTTAGGCCAGCCCTGCACCCCTCCTAGTGAACCCTGAGGCCCTGGAGCCCAGCCTATCGGTGAGTGCACCACTGGTTGGCTCAGTTCCAGACAATTGATCTGGGCTAAATGAGCAGCTGGGTTTCGCCTGATATGGTTGGAAGCAAGGGGAGGGGAGTGCCCACTGGGGGTCAGGCCGTCCCCATCTGTGGCCTAGAGGTGACCTGGGGTATACTTGGACTTTGTGTGGGAGTGGGGAAAGAGGCAGGTTGACTAGGGTGCAGATGGTTTGGAGGTCAGGAAAGACTGAGGGAAGTGCTTGTATCTTCTTTTAGGTGAACGGCAGCGATGGCATGTTCAAGTATGAGGAGATAGTACTTGAGCGGGTGAGTCTGCCAGTAGGGAGAGTAGAAAAGGGGGGAAGGGTTGGATCCAGGACAGGGAGGGCCTTGAGCAGCATTTCAGGACTCACAGGGGAGCCTGCATTGAGAGTGTGGGGAAACAGGGCCCTCAGAGGTCACATCACTGCATCTATCAATCAACTCACTAACAAATATTATTAATTGACCTTGCTGGGCCAGGCCTGGGGAATTGGGGAGGGGGTGGGTTTACTGAGGCCTCCATACCAAAATGGTCACTATATGCTGAAAAGCTACTAGGTTTCTGATGAATATGCCTTATCCCTACTACGGGGCCTGGAGAACCTACTTTGGGATATAGAGGGAGAAGAGATGCCAAGAATCTTCCTTTGTGCTCTCAGAATGAAATGACTGTGCCCTTTAACTCCCTTCCCAGGGCAACTCTGGCCTGGGCTTCAGTATTGCAGGTGGCATTGACAACCCTCACGTCCCTGATGACCCTGGCATCTTTATTACCAAGATCATCCCTGGTGGAGCTGCTGCCATGGATGGGAGGCTGGGGTGAGATGGCCTGAAAGCAGGACTGTGGGTGGAAGGGACAGGATGGAGATGTGATGAGGGAAGGGCCAGCTTAGCAGGATGATCCTTCCATTAGATCTGAGAGGGAAGGAAGGAGGGGAGAGAGGAGGAGGAGCAGGCATAGTGTCATGCCACTTGGGCTTCCCCCACAGGGTGAATGACTGTGTGCTGCGGGTGAATGAGGTGGACGTGTCGGAGGTGGTACACAGTCGGGCCGTGGAGGCACTGAAGGAGGCAGGCCCTGTTGTGCGGTTGGTGGTGAGGAGACGACAACCCCCACCGGAGACTATCATGGAGGTCAACTTGCTCAAAGGGCCAAAAGGTGCAGCCTTCCTGGTTCCTGTGCTCTACCCCAGCCCCTGCCCCAAGCCATCAAAACCCTAGGTCCTGGCTGCCCCCATGGGAACTGGAAGGAAATGGTCTTTCTCCTCTCCATGAGTCCTCCAGTTCCAGCTCATAGCCTCCTTCTTGACCTCAGGTTTCACCCTTCCGTCCTGACCTTGGGATGACAGGCTGGCGTTTGGAATTCCTGGAGGAAGGGGAGACCTTGGAGAGGGCAGTGGGATGTCTGGGAGTGGAATTGACTTTGGGATGAATGGAACACTCTAACCTCTCCTTGTGATCCTCTCCCACTCCCTGCTGGCTGTCTTGTAGGCCTGGGTTTCAGCATCGCTGGGGGCATTGGCAACCAGCACATTCCAGGAGACAACAGCATCTATATCACCAAGATCATTGAGGGAGGAGCTGCTCAGAAGGATGGACGCCTACAGATTGGGGACCGACTGCTTGCGGTGAGACAACTTCATGGGGATGCCCAACTGGTAGGGTAGGGGAGGAGCAGCTCTGGAGCCCTCTCATTCAGTGGAGAATGAGGCATTATGGAAATTTTCAACAGTATCACCTGAAGTGTGTTTACCCAGAAAACAAAGCCCTAGTTCTTACCATGGTGGGGACACTCTTACCTCCCCTTCTCCCTACTATACTTGGACCTGTCAGTACACTGAGCGCACTCCTTTAGGCTCCCTGGAGGGGCTTTCCCTTCACCTAAGACCCACCCCAGGGGTTCTCCTCTTCTAGGTGAACAACACCAATCTGCAGGATGTGAGACATGAAGAAGCTGTGGCTTCACTGAAGAACACATCAGATATGGTCTATCTGAAGGTGGCCAAGCCAGGCAGCCTCCACCTTAACGACATGTATGCTCCCCCCGACTACGCCAGCAGTACGTACTCATTGGTCTTTGGTCCTGCTTTCAGGAAGGGAAGGTGTCTGTACCGCTTGTTCAGAGAGAACAAGTGCAGATGATAGTGTCATAAGTGGGTCCAGATCCCAGTCCTGTGTTTTGGAGCTGGGTGCCCTTGGGCAAGTCCTTTTCACCTCTTTAGTTTCCTCTTTGGCTCAAAGGAGCTAATGATATATATGCTGCCTTCCTTATAGGACTGGTGCGAGGATCAAATGAGATCATGGATGAGAAAGCCCTTGGAGAACTGTATTAGGCTACAGAGATGTGAGGGATTATTATTAGTCACACCTCTAGTCATGCCTTTCTTTGTAGACAGCCTTGACTTCAGCTCTTTCTAAGAGTCACAGGACTGAGCCCAGGATTTAGAAAGGGACTGTGAAGGAGGAACCCTGATGTGAGGGTGGTGAGTGGTGGATGGAGCTGGAAGGAGAGGCCCGAGGAAGCAGCATCCCTTAGTTTCTTTTCACCTGAGGAAAAGTGTGTGGGAAAATTCTTGGAGGGGGTTGGGGAAGTACCTGCCTGGAACACCGCTGAACTCTATTTCCTTTCTCCATCTCAGCTTTCACTGCCTTGGCTGACAACCACATAAGCCATAATTCCAGTCTGGGTTATCTCGGGGCAGTGGAGAGCAAGGTCAGCTACCCTGCTCCTCCTCAGGTGCCCCCCGCCCGCTACTCTCCCATTCCCAGGCACATGCTGGCAGAGGAAGACTTTACCAGGTAAGACAGGCCCCATTCTTCCGGCCTAGAGTGGGGTGAGGACAAGTTTTCTGACCAGTGACAGGCCTTGTAGCATGGCAAAGAAGACAAGGCCCTCATCATGCCCAGTTGTAAGGTCTAGCTGGGCCTCTTTGAGCCCTCGGGCTTCTAGAGGGAAACAGAGGTGGCTGCAAGAACAAGTTCTACCATCAGGGGGAGTGCCGAGCAAGTGCCCCAGATCAGATCCCGGGGGTGGGGGTGGCGGAAGTTTCCTGTCCCAAAACAGTGGCATTTCCCCATGATGCAGACTTTCTGAATCACAAAAGAAGATCTTTCCGGACGGGGTTGACGGGACTCAGAGGAGCCGGCTGGTCGTCCTGGGACCGCGGGAGGAAGGGCTCCTCCCCTTGGTGGCGCGGTGGCTACGGGCCAGGCCGTTGAACTGGTCCGGCCGGCCGGGGTTCCAGGGGGACAGGTTTGCGAGGTGGGGCCTGGGAGGCTGCAGGGCCGCCTGCTTGTGGAGACTGAAGGGTAGACTGAGAGCCAGAGAAGCCATGGAGAGGGCTCACAAGTTCTCAGGCTCAGGCTTGAGTCTGGGCTTGGGCTCGGCCTCGGCTTCGGCCTGGAGGAGGGCCTCACAGAGGTGGGCCTGGCCTCTCCGTTCCTTGCGGCCTGGAGGGGATGCCAGGTAGGAGCCTTACACCGAGAAAAAAGGAGGCTCGTCTGAGACTTGGGGCTTCTCTGAGGAGGGATGCTCGGGAACAGATGAAGGCATCAGGGTGGGACCGTGTACTGGGGAGTCCAGCAGCCTGCATGCATAGATGCACATGTACAGCTGTTTGGCCACACCTGGTGGCACTGTGGCCATTTAGACAGGCGTTCTTGGACATGGTCAGATTTTTTCATGTGTTTGTCTCCTCTGTTTAGTTCTGCCCCTAAGCACCTTTTGGGAACTTGAGATTTATTCATCTTTCTTCCACATCGCTTGTCAGTCAGTGGTAGCTGCTATGTTGTTGGGGTAAGGTAGGAAGGGTCATAGTTGGTGTGTGAAATTTCAAAACTGCACAGTAGCAGTTGTAAAGATAGTATGTACATCTTTTGGATGGTGAGGGCAATCCCCAGGGTGATTCCACTGCCTTTAACAGGTTCATATGTGGCCCAGGGCCTTTTACACAGCGTGATAGGACAGAGGACTCTGGGGAAGAAGACCAGTGAGTGAGCACTGAGATTTGGGCTCCAGGGCTCTGATAAGATTTTGTTGATGTGAGAGTGTTGTGGAATGTCCATTGGGAAATTGACTATGACTTTAGGAAGGAGGAAGAGGAACTGAAACTTGACATGCAAAGCAGCTGCCAAGCAGGTTTCAGGAGACCAAAGGAGGAACAGGGTATCACATATAGGAGCCTGGAGTCTTTCTTTCCTACATCAAGTATGGGTCTTATTACACACTGTCCCTCACAGGAACAACACTTTCTCTCACTCTTTGTCCTGACCTCCCTTGTCATACCTTTACTCCTTTCCCTCTAGAGAGCCCCGCAAGATCATCCTACACAAAGGCTCCACAGGCTTGGGCTTCAACATCGTAGGAGGAGAGGATGGAGAAGGCATTTTTGTCTCCTTCATCCTGGCAGGAGGCCCAGCCGACCTGAGTGGGGAGTTGCGAAGAGGAGACCGGATCTTATCGGTGAGACAAAGGCTAGGTGGGAGGATGGGCCCTGTGCCAGGCCAAAAGGGAGGAGGGGAGCTCTTGTGTCCTCCAAGGAATGCTTCTTGAGATGACGGAAGGGCTAAGAAGTGAAGAAAACTTAAATTGTCTTTACAGTTAGCCATAATGAGGGACCAAGAGACCAAGACCACACTTATCCTTCAGGAGGAAACTGAATGTCTCTTGGATCTTAATATTGATTGGCATTTGGCTTCCACAAAAATAGTTATTACACTAGAGATGTTATATCCTAGGGGCCCAATTTGGGGGGGGTGGATAAGGATGGGATTTGGGGAAACAAAGCCAATAGGCTGAGAGATGGACTGCACATCCCCTCTTTTGTCATCTCAGAGGACTCTCTTGCCTTTAGGGTGATTCACAACTCCTCTCTTTGGACAGGTAAATGGAGTGAACCTGAGGAATGCTACTCATGAGCAGGCTGCAGCTGCTCTGAAACGGGCTGGCCAATCAGTCACTATTGTGGCCCAGTACAGACCTGAAGGTAGGAGAAGGGAAGGTTGGGAAGAGATGATGTGGTTGAGTTTAGACTTTCACTTAGCCTTGGCCTTTTCCACCATAGGTAACAAAGCCATTTAACCAGGTCTCTGGTACTCTAGTGCAGGGAACCTCTTGCCTCCTTTTCCTTCTAGACTGGGAGGTTGGTTTGGGTGGTTTGGGGGAGCATCAAGACTGTGCTCAAAGCCTGCTGACAAGGGGTGCACTACAGCAGAAAGCCAGTAGCGAGCAGCAGACCACGGGAAGAAGCACCAAGATTAGGGTGACTGGAAAAAGCGGAGGGGAGGCTGAAGGCTCAGAGGCAAAAACTGGAAATTTTGTGTCCTGGAAAAGAAAGAGTAGCTCTCGGTTTGGACTTGAGAGTAAGAGATCCGACCTCTTTATGAGATCTTGGACCAAACCTCTATGAATCCCATTCATCTTCCTTCATCAAAAGGACTGAGACCCACGTAGGCTTTGAAAGGTGATACTAAAGCCCTTGACATAGGGGATGAGGACTAGACGCCCTCCCTCGATGGGGGGGGGAACTGTCTTTGTACTCTCAGCTTGCCATGGGTCGATTGGGGCGAGTGGGCGGGCCTGCTCTGCAAATGAAGGTGTTTGATTGGTCAGGGCTAGCCAAGGGCCAGGTGCCGAGGTGAGCTGCGGGAAGGCGCGCCCTAGCCTGCCGGCCGGTCGAGTAACCATTGGCCCGCAGAGCGTGGCCTCCAGCCGCAAGCCCCGCCCCCTGACCCGAGGAGGGCGCCCCTCCTCCCCTCGAGCCTCGGACGCCTCCTCCTCCTCCCTCCCATCCCCCATCTCCCCTCCTCCCGTGCGCCCCGCTTTGTGTCCGTCCGTGGTCTCCCGCGCGGGACAGAGGGACCGGCCTGAGCCGGCGCTTTTTCGGCACTTAGACCTGGACTCCGACTGGGCGCCAGGTGAGGTGGGGCAGACGGGGGCCAGGCCCCCTTGCAGTCCCCCCTAGCCTCTCCACTGTTCTGTTCTCAGCCTCTTTTCCAACACTGCGCTCCATCTCTGCCCTCTCCCCCGAAAGCTGTGCCCCGCGCCTCCAGCCCGCTTCCGAGCCCTACCGGAGGGACTCCCTCGGCCCATGGCCGCGACGCGCTGGGCTCCCGGTCCACGGAACCCTGTCTGACCTTCACCCCCTTGCTATCACCTCTTCTCACCCATCAACTGTGCCCCCTTCGCTCCCCAGACCTTCAGTGCTGTACGCAGCCTCCTTCCTGTTGGCCACTGCGTCCGCAGCAGCCCCTATTTCTGGAGCAATTTTCTAAATCTTCCCCTTCCCTCACATTCATTTCCCCTCTCTAACTCAGGGAATTGGTTTGGAATTTTCGTGTCCCTTCCCTTCGCAAGGCTTTCATTCAGTACCCGACATCTTTAGCCTCCCCTCCCCTTTGTAAGTCTGGCCTTTGTTCCTTAGGGCTGCAGCGCCTGGGCTCCTTGGACACTTGGGCCCTGCAGGCCTATAACCCAGGTGGAAGAAGGGACAGGGCCCTAGCAGGTGCTGTAGTTCTGAGCCCTGTGACAAAGCTGAGAAAGCTCAAAAGTGCCCACCTTTGTCCTTCCCGCCCCTCCCCCACGCTCATCAATGCCCTCTGAACCCTAAGGGGAAGAGAGGACCTGGCCACCTTTTGCATCTGGCTTGATGGGGACAGGAGTGTAGGAGGTAACCAACAGGAGGGCTTGTTGGTCTGAGGTCATAGGAAGGAAGGATGCAAATGGACACTTTGAGTCATTTCTCTCCATGTTTGGTGTTCAGCTTACTGACTGGCAACACACCTTAGGGTTATTGTTTTTTATGATTTAAACATGTGATTGTTTGCTTCTCAGGAGAGGATTTTTATTAGCAACTAATATTTATCAATGTTTTTACCCAGAAGTAAGAGTAGGTTCTGCAAAGGAAATTCTCTCTCTCTCTCTCTCTCTCTCTCTCTCTCTCTCTCTCTC